TGGAGGTGTCCAATCAGTAAAAAGCACATATGTAACCCTTCTGTTTTAACCAATAAGAGTAAAATTAGCTACATGTTTACAATTAGTTTGTAGTTTGCTGTTTTGCCCTATAAAAGCTAGCCTGTGAGACTAGGTGGGGGTCACTCTCCACAGACACAGCCCTGACCAGTTAGTTTGATTCTTGATACTTGGCAGGGAATAAAGCTTTGCTTGACTTTCACTTTGTATTAGTCTTGTTCCTTTGATCAAGGACCCTTATCACCAATGTCTCTATTTTCAAATAAAAGGAAAGCAATGGTACTCACTGGAAACTGTGTTGAAAATGAACTATAGAACCTGTGGGTACGAAGGGAGGAAAAAAACGGGAAAAGTGAGGGAAGGAGTGACATTATCCAAAAGGATATCTCTTTGCCTGACTTACGTAAGTGTAAACTTTTGTTTAATTAAAAAATAATAAGGGGCTGGGAAGGTGGCTCAGTGGTAGAGCGCTTGCCTTGCATGCATGAGACCCTGGGCTCGATTCCTCAACACCACATAAGCAAAAAGAAAAAAAAAGCCAGAAGTAGTGCTGTGGCTCAAGTGGTAGAGCGCTAGCCTTGAGCTGAAGAGCTGAGGGATAGCGCCCAGGCCCCACTACTGGACCCCCCCCAAAAAAGAAAAAATAATAACAATAAAAGGAAAGAAAGAGAGTAATGGAGGAAAATAGTGTAGGAGGTCAATTTAAAAGAGAATAAAAACATATTTCTAGAAAGGCCACAGACAAAGTCTTTAAATATAGCATAACAGTCAAGTAAGAAAAACAATAAATGCAGTCATGGGGTTTGACAATACTTTAAGCAATTGATGAGCTTTGGAAAAAAATACAACTCCATGCAGCCTGTTCCACTCCCTATAGAAAAGACACAACAGCCAAGGGTTATATGTGGACAGCCATTTAAGTATATAGATGGCTTACTCAAGCCTTTAACATTCAAAGATACTTGGAATCATACTAATTCAATTACTCCAAAAATAATCACTACCCAGTTTAGCATCATGAACATACTTTAATTTGTGTCTAATAAGGGTAAGATTTCTAACCAAAGGCCTGCAAATGTACATTCCATAAGAAGTTAGCATACTAACCTCCTAAGTGTCAGTGGATCATGTAGTGCTTGCTACTTTTTCTCACATCAGTAAAAACAGAGACAAATTTGAGGTAAACTTGTATTCAACTCAGTTTGACTCTTTTTTTTTGAGGGGGGCCTGAACTCTGGGCCTGGGTGCTGTCACTCAGCTCTTCAGCTCAAGGCTAGCACTCTACCAACTTGAGCCACAGTGTCACTTCCGGCTTTTTATTTTTCTGCTTATGTGGTGCTGAGGAATCGAACCCAGGGCCTCATGCATGCAAGGCAAGCGCTCTACCACTCAGCTACTTCCCAGCCCCCTCCCTCAGTTTGACTCTTAAGAACATATAATCCACTAAATCTAAAAGCCATCTTTATCTTATTTATGAATGTTTTCCTGAGGCTAAATATTTTCTACATTCCCATTTTAATTTTGGAGCACATTGTTAATAAAAAATTCCTAAAAAGTAAAGAAAGACATAAGCAAAAAACTCACCAGGGATCCACTCATTTTTTGTTGCTGTTGGCAATGCAGAGATGATTGTGAAAGCAAAGCTGGAAGAGAAAGCAAATGAAATGGAATCAGGAAAGAACCAATATGAATTTGTCTTAAATTTTCCTGCTCAAGGCAATACATTCACATGGATTGGAAAAGAAAAAAAAAAACACCTTCCTGTACAGAAGACCCTTTCCCTAAAAAATTGTTGAATAATCTAAGTCAAAGAGAGACATATAATCTCTTTACTAAAATTAGAAATTACAGAATTGCACTTAGGAATCTATGAACTATTTTCTGGTTAATATAAAGATATCACATAGGACTCCATTGAGTATTTTACTATATCTCATGTTTTGGAATATTTAAACGTCATGCAAAATGTTGGTTGAAAGACCCTAGTCCCCTAGGACACTTTCATCAACAGGAGGGCGCCCCAGAAACTCAGACTCCAGGCCAGGAGATGCAATAAGCAAGAGGAGTTTATTTTACGTTTGCGCAAAGGGACTGTCTGCCTTGGGAAGGGAGAGAGCACCAAGCAGCAGTTACAAGCATTTTTAAAGGCAAAAACCACAGGATTAGCATATGACACCAGGTGCCCTGGGATTGGCCCAATTTAAAAATCACCATGCACTCCAGCAATCATTTTGTTACGCGGGAAACGTCGTAACACTCTTCGCAAAATGGTTGGCTCATGGCAAATCTAGGGGGATATGTTACCCTGGAGGGGAGTTCACATAGTTACAGGCTTGTGTTTGGTTGACATTTGACCTAGTTTGCTGGACTCACTAGATGGTCCTTATCTTGGGTCCCATTTGGGGAATTTCCAAACAGCAACTTATACTCCTTTGTTGTTTATCTGACTACAGATCTTGTTTCAAGACCCACATCAGGACTCTGAAACTTTTTATTTATTTCCAGGGAGGGGAAGGGTCAGTGCTAGCGCAAGCAAGTTTACAGAAGCAAAATCAGCAGTTAGCAATTGTAAAATGTAACTCTAATTCTTAATCTTTCATTACTGACAACTCAGTATTTTAAACTCAGAATTACAGGGGGAAAGTGAATAGAACATATATTTCTTGTTGCTTCCTGTTTCAATAATGGATCCCAGATAGCTCATCTTTCTCTAACAAAGTAGCCTCAAGCATTGATCTGGACTTTGTCATTTAACTTGCTTTGGCCAAAAAGATGTCAATGAATATTGTGTGAACAAAGTTTTGAAAATTCCTTATGAAAGACCCCAGACTCCTGGGATACTTTTGTCTGCGGGAGGGTGCCCCAGAAACCAAGACTCCAAACCAGTAGATGCAACAAGCAAGAGGAGTTTATTCAGCGTTTGCGCAAATGGTCTCTCTGCCCCGGCAAGGGGGAGAGCCCTGAGCAGCAGTTACAGGCATTCTTAAAGGCAAAATCCACAAGATTAGCATATAACACCAGGTGTCCTCGGGATTGGCCCGTTTAAAAGTCACTGTGTCCTCCAGCAATCATTTTTACTACACGGGAAAGTTTATAACACTCTTTGTAAAAACGATTGGCGCGGGTGATTCAAAGGAGGTAGTCACTCTGGGAGGTAAGAGTTAGGGGAGTTCACATAGTAACAGGCTTGTGATTGATTAACATTTGGTCTAGTTTGCTGGACTTGCCAGGTGGTCCTTATCTTGGGTCCCATTTTTGGGTCCCATTTGGCCACTTGGGGAATTTACTTGTTTGTTCTTTATCTATGACCACAGACCTTGTCCCGGGGCCAGCATCTGGGCTCCGAGCCTTTTTACTCAATTCCTTATTTCCAGAAGGGAGGGAGGTTAGTGCTAGGGCGAGCAAGTTTACAAAAGCGAAATCAGCAGTTAGCAATTATAAAATGTAATTCTAATTTTTAATCTTTCACTTAGTGACTGCTTCCCTTAACACAATATGTTGTTAAGAATCTTAGCTATTCTGCTGGATATACACGGCCTAATGAAGAACATAAATTACTTTTAATAGGAATGATATCATCCTAAACCAACTATCCTCAGTAAGAAAATGACATGAGTAAAGCCTCATCTGTTCAACAATCAATACTAACAGAAATACAATACTGAGTCCAGCCTAAAATGTAGCTTCTCAAAACTTTAAATGAATGAAATGAGACTGCATATTTTTGCCAGTATATATTGGTTGGTAAATTATATAGGAAATTCTAGGTCATCTACAGCTTTGTTTTTAATAAAACTATGTAGGAGACAAATTTCTGAAGTAAACTTTTCAACCAGTGGATGAATAATGCAAATCACCACAAAGGTCAATTGTCTAGAATTCAGTGAGTTTGCTTTTGCAAGTAAAGACTGCTATGCCCAGATAAGGATCCCCAAAGACCACCAACGAACCGATTCTGATGCAAGCGCACGAGTCATTTATTGCAAGCTCCAGCCTGGACTCATAACCTTCACCAACACAGCGAGTCAGAGTTGAGAGCCCTGACTTCCAATTCAGCAGGGTTTTTATTGTGGTTTTAGCAAGGGTAGGAGGTTTCCAACTTAGTGGTTACATGATTGGTTAACATTTAGTAAGTAAGTCTTCTAACATTCTTATTGGCTAAAGTGCTCAGGCTAAGCAGCTGAGCAGCAAAATATGTTAACTATGCTATCTTAAGAAAAATCTGGAGTTTTACTTTCCTGCTAGTTACTGATTAACTTTTGCTAGGGAGTTACCAGTAGAGTGGTTTTGGTCCTGCCATTTTTCTAGGAACCTGAACTCATGTCAGTAAAAGCCTTTTTTACAAAATGGCCTTAATATCCAATATGGTTGCACTTTGGCCAGGCCAGCCTTCTCAAGACCAAGTGAATCATTAAAAGGCAATGTGTGAATTCTAGTTTTAACTTTTTCTGCATTACAATAGTTTGTTTTCTACTTTAAAAAACATAAAATAGGGGGCTGGGAAGGTGGCTCAGTGGTAGAGCACTTGCCTTGCATGCCTGAGGCCCTGGGTTCAATTCCTCAGCACCATATAAGCAAAAAGAAAATAGTCAGAAGTGGCGCTGTGGCTCAAGTGGTAGAGCCCTAGCCTTGAGCTGAAGAGCTGAGGGACAGCGCCCAGGCCCAGAGTTCAGGCCCCACAACCGGACCCCCCCCCAAAAAAAACAAAAAAATAAATTTGTTATAGGCTGAATATCTCAATTTATGGGAATGAAATTTTCATATATTTCACGAGGACCTTTTCTTTTTGTTTTCCTTTTTGGACATCCCTAGAGCAAAAAAAAAAAAAATCATATTATGGAATTTCTGCCTACAAATGTTATCTCCAATTAACCACCAGAAAAGTGGAGGTGGTGAGTTCAGGAACTTAGGAACAGTGCCCAGGCCAAGTTCAAGCCTCACCACTGGCAAAAGACAAAAAGAAAAAAAAACAAGAGGGAGGGAATCAGGGTTAGGACAAAAGTATATGCAGTCCACTCTATTTTAAGTAATGTAAAATAAAATCATTATTGTACTGAAGAATATGTAATATTTCAAGAACATATTAAAAGTGCAATATATCCATATTAGTAATATTTTTCAGCCACAGGAAATGCTGAGGATATGAAAAGGACCAGAATCTTTCAAGTGAAATATTTTCAAGCAATGTTTGTGCGACATTGACTTCATTCACTTCCCTCACCCCTGTCCCCACAAAAATTTCCAAAGTGAAACAATACTACTTTTGGCAGATTGTAACAATATGGCCAACACTAGCTAAACCTTTAGGATACTTAACATCTACAAACCATACAACTTTGAGCAAGGTACATCACTTAAGTTGTGTTTTGTCATGTTTGTTTTAAAGCATAAGGTGCCTAGCACACATTTCCTGAATTGCCAGAAAAAGCATCAGGTAAAAGAAAGAACTAGTACCACTAGATGCCGCATTTAATAATAGGATAAGTTTGAGAGAGCTTGCATTCTAGAAATGATAGACAGTGAGGTTAGACTGAGTGAAAGAGAAGGGGATTAGCTTTCTTGTAGAGGCAGATCTTTCAGGTGTGAGAACATATCTCTGTACTATAAACCACAGCTCCTAACCCTCTGATAATTCAGCTCTGGTTCATTCCTCAGTCTAGCTCACCTCTCTCCTCTCAATATTGGAGAGTGCTTGGAAGCTTTGGAGAAAGTTGTACCAGGTGAATCTTGTGCTCTGGAAAGTCGAATCAATCATTGCTAGGGAAAGGGAGGCTAACCAGATCTTCCCGTTCTAGTGCTTCTCTGCCTCTGCTCTTTAGGGCTAGTGAGAGTTCACAAGGACAGTGTTCTTTCAGGATGCACAGTCCTGTTCAGAATCTGCCCTCCTTCGAATCTGCCACGCTTACTTAATTCCAAGGAATACAGGTCCATCAGCCAGTCGTGTACAAACATGTGTGAACTGGAGCCAGGAGTGCTAAGAGGCTACAGCGCCCAGAAGGGGACTAGAAACCTCCCACAAGAAACAGCACATAACCCCACCAACACAACTGCCATAGCACAAGACTCGGCCAGCACACCCTTCACAACCTCACTAGAATTGTGACTCGTCCATCGTTCAGCTGGGCAAATGATGTCATCACACTGGTCCGCAGCAGAATCAGGCGTGGAACAGAAGCGCAAGCCTCCCCAGCTCTCCTAGTCTGCACAACCTTCTAGCCTGCCCGCGAACCTTCCCGAGCCAGCTAGGTTCCGGCACCTGGAAGGACACTGATTCTGGCAGAACCGACTCTGACAAAGCCATCACGACCCCAGGCACAGTCACCCAGACCGGAGGGACCCGGCAGTGCGTGGAGCCTCCAGGCTACCCGCCCGGCTCCAGCTGCCTCCTGCAGCCCATTTTCCTGCCTGCCTGCCATCCACTCACATTTCAGGTCCCCAGGTTCGCCAAGGCCCGGCGGGACCTCTTGCCACCCCGGCTCCGGCACTCAGAACACTGAACTTCACTCCAGAAACTTCCCAGGAGCTTGGCTCAGCTCCAGAAACCGGAATTCCTGAGCAGAAAACGCCGTGAGTGGGCGGGGAGACGCATGCAGGGGAGGAGCCTGAAAGAGCCCTGCCAGTGGGTCTGTGCCTGGGGAAGACT